TACGTCCCCGGTACGTACATAGTACGTACCGTGGCTGTATGGGGGATTTTTTCTGTATTTGCATCCCTTTTATTGCTGTAACCATAGAGTAAGCCGTAACTATATTGTAATATAGTTACGGCTGAGATTAAGAAATTATACCGCGGTAATATTATATTTGCGGTGAACACGCAGTTCTAAAAAGTTTTCAAAAAATATACAAGGAAATTTAAAAGAAAATACACGATTTTCAGCACTCATAGGCATGTTCCTCGGGTGAAATATACAACCCCTGAAAATATTTGCACTTATTTAAGACTCACCCTGTATAATCCTATTATATAAAAAAGGTCTACATAAAAGGAATAAAATGATTTCAAAACATTTCTATGCTATTCATCCCGATGTCGCTATATAAAGTAAGCAATTCAGGCCATCTGACATACGGTTGCTGTGACAAGCTTTTTTTCTGCCTCTTCCTTTTCATCTTCCTTAATCTATAACTCGGAAGAAGAATGTTTGAAATGCGACTGTGGCCGGCCATTTAATAACAGTTTTAATTAGATTTATTAGGTGGATGCTGGCTTACATCGCATCGGGAATAAATCCTAGTGGCGTGTATATACAGGGTGGACGCAATTGGTCTGTTTTAACAGAGAAAATCTACTTCTTGAGTAGATAGAGCAAAACCTTTGAATAAAATGATTAAGGAAGAAGAAGAAGCATATGAAAAATCTTAGATCGACCGCGACGCCGACGGGCTCCTAAAATGTCTGACTTAAATTCGGGTTTATCAGTGCCGTTCTAATATTATTCAAAACTTGTAAAGTAAAAATATAATATAGGGTAGAGTCAATAACTCCTTGTTTTATTTTACATTGTGAATTAATGTTGGTAGTTATTAAAATTGTTATAAAAATATACAATTCTAATAAAAATAGATAAGTTATAATAATTATTTATTGTCACAAACATCCGATACGCTACTGAAACAAGTAAGTCAAAGAATTTGGATACGTTAAATCTAAATTCTATGATGTGTAGTCTTTGACAAGTAGTAAATAAAAGCAAAAATGTTAGAAAATATATACAGGGTCCAGCAATAGTGCGTCCGGCATCTATAGCTCCTAGAATAAAAAACTTGAGAATTTTGTTTAAGTGCAAACCTAAAGTATGTACCAGGATGTATTTCAGGAAAATATTTTAACTTCTATAGGGTGGCTCAAAAAAGTGTGAGTGGACCTGGATGATTTTTTTTAAATGGAACACCCTGTATATTATTGCATTTTTGGCTTCCTTTTAGATCACTTTACATAACCATAAGATATGAATAAATATATTTCGATAGTTTCAGAGATATTAAAAAATAAATCAAAAATATATATTTTTCAGCCCTTCTTAAAAAAAATATTAAAAATAAAAGAACTGTTTTCAAATCAAAACTATATTAGGTATTTACTTTAGATGGTCTGTTCTTACTTTGCTATAATTATGTTAATCGTAAATCATACAGGATGTTCAATATTCTACGCCAAAGTTTCTAAAATATCAAATATTTTTTCTTGGTTTTTTTAATTGGAATACCCTGTATATTATTTTTTCAATAGATGGAGAATTAAAAAATGAACATTTTTTGTATTTAGAGTATTTCAAAATTTTTAACGGTTTCGCAGATACACGCAGTATTTTATCATATGGCGGTTTCAATGGTAAAATACGCGAGAAAAATCATTGGGTGGCTTTGATAAAAAATTACTATGGAAAATGCCATCTGAAATATAAAACCGCATATATCTGCGAAACCGTTAAAATTTTTAAAATACTCTAAATACAAAAAATGTTCATTTTTTAATTCTCTGTCTACTGAAAAAATAATATACAGGGTGTTCCATTTAAAAAAACGATGAAAAATTATTTTATATTTTAGAAAGTTTGGCGTAGAGTTTTGAACATCCTGTATAACTTACGATTTTCATATTTATTGCAAAGTAAGTACATACCATCTAAAGTAAATACCTAATATAGTTTTGACTTCAGAACAGTTCTTGTATTTTTAATAATTTTTTTAAGAAGGGCTGAAAAATATATATTTTTGATTTATTTTTTAATATCTCTGAAATTATCAAAATATATTTATTCATATCAAAAATGCAATAATATACAGGGTGTTCCATTTAAAAAAAATCATCCAGGTCCACTCACACTTTTTTGAGCCAGCCTATAGAAGTTAAAATATTTTCCTGAAATACATCCTGGTACATACTTTGGGTTTGCACTTAAACAAAATTCTCAATTTTTTTATTCTAGGAGCTACAGATGCCCGACGCACTATTGCCGGACCCTGTATAATTAGTTAATTTTAAGTGAATTTCATAAATGATCGGTTTACTACACGCTTGTATATTATACAGTCACTTACTAGCGAAAAGTTATTTCATTATTTCCCTCGATTTTTGGCCGACATCTTCCGCACGCTACACAACAAACTATTTTACAGTCTTTTTCGATAAATCGCAATAGTATCACTGTTAATTTATGTTCTGCTACAATTTCCTTCTAGATTTACTACCTTTAAATAACTATCAGTAGTAGAATAAATAATAAATAACATAAAATAAGGTCAGTAAAGACTGACAAATCCACAAAATGTCAAATCAAATTCAAAAGTATCAAGCGAATCGTCAAACAGAAGTGTCAAGGATCCCCACCCTAGAATCCTTGGAGTCCTTAGTCGTTGGAAAGGGTCAAGCCTGGTATTTTTCAAGTTCACAGCCAACTATAATTTCAATTTAAAAAAAGGATATTTTTTTATTACTGACAAAAAAAGCAAGTATAGAAATCATCCAATTGCGCCACTGGGTTTCAGTTAAAAGAGTGCTTCAGGAATGCTTTAACGGAGTTGTATATTTGAAAAAGACCCTGTATCTCGATCGCAGTGAAAATATCGACAAGCGTATATGAAAAAACTAAACAAGCCCCAAAAATCGAGCCCATCTATGTTGGTTTTGGTCTCTCTAGCCAGGAAATAGCCCTTATCTAAAAAAAAAACATTTTCGACCACCCTGTACATCTGTGCTCATAAACTCAGCTTCTGTATCTCTCATGTTCGGGTAAAAATTACTGAATGCGTTGCACTATGGATTTATGAATGCGATTTAACCGTTAATACAGACACACCGCGAAATACTTACTAAGAGATTTTATTATTGAGGCATGTATTTCTTCAATTTATACGCTCGATATAATTTAGCGTTTACGGCTTGCCTATTACGAAATAGTTTCAGAGCTTTTGGTCCGTTATTTTAATATTTAATTAGCAATTGCCTGGAAAACCGTTTAGCGAAACACGCAATGACTAGAAAAATAAATTTATCGGTCCAAAAAAATAGTTTATTTAGCTATAAAATACATTCTCGGAGAAAATATCGAAAAGCTAGGAATTAAACGGTTATAAATGTTATTTCTAAAATAATGTATTTGATGATTTAATATATTAACAGCCAGTTCTGGGGCAAACACCCGGTATATCAAAATTTGGGTAAATATATATCCTAGGTCTTGCACTCTGGTAAAATGCTCAGTGGGTAAAATCGGGCAATCAAATCAAGTAAATACATACTAATATATACTTTAGATTGGCATTTATACCAAATTTCTAAGTTTTTTTTTATTATAGGAGCTACAGATACCCGAAGCACTGTTGCCGGGCCCGTATATAGTAGTAGGAAAAACTTTGAACCGTGGCAACCTTTTAAACTGCACAGAATAAAAATAGCTTTAATCTATACTAATAAGGCTAATATATAAAATCCTTAAGTGACTGACTCACTGATTAATCACGATCCCGCTCAAACCACTCAACGTAAGAAGCTCAATTTTGGCATACAGATTGATTCTAGGGTGTAGAGGTTCGATAAGAAGGGATTTTTCGAAATTCCAGTTCCAAGGGGGTGAAACCACCCCTCAAATATTACAATATCTTTTATTAGAAAACGGTCAAGTTTCGGAAAAAACGCTTAAACACGTATATTTTATTTTGTTGTTTTACATATTTTAAGATTTTTTAAAAATTTACACAGGGTGTTTCATAAAATTTGACCAGGGAGTAATCACGATTCTGCTTAAACTGCTTGACGTTTAAAGCTGATTTTTGGCAAACGGATTGACTGTGGGGTGTAGAGGTTCGGTAAGGAGGGGTTTCTCGAATCTCAAATTCCAAGAGGGTGAATCCAGCCCCTCAAATATTACAATATTTTTTATTTAAAAAACGGTTAGTCTTTCGGGAAAATGCTTGGACACGCATAATTTATTTTGTTTTTTTTACATATTTTGAAATTTTTTAAAAAATCATACAGGCTGTTCCAAAAAGTTGGGTAATTGATTAACCACGATTCTACTTAAACTGCTTAACGTAAAAAGCTGATTTTTGGCTAACGAATTTTTCGATATTTAAATTCCAACGAGATGAAACTACCCCTCAAATATTACCAAGTTATATAAAAATGTCGCCATATTGTTTTTTCTCATGCTGACATAAATGTGAGAAAATTTTATCCAATTTTTATGTTAATGGAAATTCTTGTTTTGCTTTATCATCACCATTACAAATGATTAATTGGACGTGAACGAAGTCGCGGGTACACGCTAGTTTTACATATGAATGATCAAACAAATTTATGAATGTAATGTCGTCTCCAAAATCAGTTATTATTATTATTAATTATAAACATAGTTGCGGCAACTTTTTAATTGGCAGTTTAGTACACAATCTTTTTTTGATACCTTGTATAAGAAAATAATTGTTATTTTTTTATAACATTTTATAAATATTACTAATTCCTCTTGTTTTAAATACATATCTCTATTTTTTAAGAAATTAATTTCTAGATAATTTTGCAGACTCAAGATACATAATAATGCTATTTCATTGCATTCCTGTTTCATGATACCATTTACTAAAAATAAAAAAAAATATATTAATATAATAAATTTTATTTATATTTGAATATTACAGTCAGTGGAGTATGTCTAATAATACATGAGTGGATGAGTTTGAAACCTCCATTAAAACTTATATTATAATATGTTTCTAAACAGTTTAAAATAAAATAAAAATATATTTATGTCACACCTATGACACTTAACCTGTTCCTAAACGAACAAAAAAATCGAAATAAAAAAAACTTACTTTGGTATTAAGCTCACAAAAACAAATTAAAAATTTTATAAAAGAGACTTCTTAAATTTAACAAACAATAATTTTTAAAATGTTTAATATCTTTTATATATTAAAATTGCTCTATTTACAAGCTCTACGCTACACTAGGCTATTAATTAAAAGTATTCGATTCAATGCATCAACCGTTTAAAATGTACAAAATGTGCATTATTCAAAAAGGTTTTTATACCCAAAGGTGCTTAAAAATGCAAGATTAACAAATTATGCATGTGTAGGAACTTTAAAAATATTCACAATACTATCAGTATCATATTAAGCTTAAGTTTAATGTATTTACAATATAAATATCGATCTAAGATCTAACTAGGTATATACAAATTAACAACTTAAGGAAATATAAATACAATTTGAAAGAATTGACGATTAATATTATACTAAAAATCTGCAGTATGGTAGAACTATGTCATAAAATTTGTCAATGGTTGAAAAAAAAAATTAAAATACATTGAAAATTATTTTTCTAGTACATTTTTTGTAAATATGTAAACTACATCTCGAAATATCAATATTTCCTCAAGTAAATGTAACATATTAACACAGATGGTTCAGTTCCTCTACTACAACTCTACACAATCAACGGATTTCATATTATATCAACTATATCTATTCTCTACTAGGTAGTAACTTCGATAGACTGGTCGTTATTGTTTAGAATCTCTTCTTTACTAGCATCTTTTTTCGAAAAATCTTCTACCGATGCATTCGAATACAGTTCAGAATCATCATCTTCCTTACCAACTACGTCGATGTCATTTTGAAATGGAGGGGTATAGAGTCTGGTGGGGTTATAGTATTCTTGGCCGTTTGTGGTAACTTTACCAACAAAATTTCTTATTTCATCAAGTCTAGTATAGGCTTCTTCCCTTTCGTTTTCATTGCTACTTCCTGGTGAATCTGCTACTGCCACCACTCCATTACCATCATCAGTTTCATGCTTTTTCAAGTGCCTGTCCAAGTTTGTTTGCTGCCCAAAACATCTCTCACACAACGGACATTTAAAAGGCTTCTCTTTATTATGTATATTTCTCACGTGTCTCTGTAAGTTACTCGAGATACTAAAGCTACGTTCACAGTACCTACACTTGTACGGTTGTTCACCTGTATGGGTCCTCAAATGTCGCGTGAGATTAGCAGATCTAGGAAACACTTTCCCGCAAAACTTACAAGCATATCTGTCCTTTATTTTCCCTTGGCTAGGAGGATGGATAGCATCGTGGTACGATTTAACCGGATTGAAGCTTTGTAAATTCGGCCTTAACAGATCGAAACGTTGATGAAGGGGTGAGTTTAGAAAAGGAAACCTGTGAGGTCCGAAGGGCAGAAGTCTTTCGGTTGCTTGTTGAAAGTTTGGGAAGTTTGATCGGTACATTTCCAAAACCATCGGATATGTGGGTCTTGGATAGGCCATTGGAGGTGTTGTGGGAGGTTTCTTCGGTTCTTCAACCTCGATAATTTCCATTTTTTCTTCTTTAACTTCCGGTACGGGTGTTGGGGTACGACTCTTAATCGGTTCTGTTTTGAATTCCACTTTTTCTGTTGGTTGCAATACAGAGTTCCAACCGGAAAGATCCAAAGGTTGATCACCGTCATCACTGGGAGTGGTGGACTTAGGAGAAGTCACACTGAAGTCTTTAGGTACTTTTTCCTCAGGCACTGGCGTTATCGTTGCTCTGGATTTCGAAGTTAGAGTCGGTCTAGCGGGTGATGGTGTTAAATCAGCTTCTTCTGCTGTAGGAGGACTGACTTTCTCGGCAATACTGGGCGCTCTAGGCGGTGTAAACCTCTCTTTTACATGAACTTCAGTTTTTTCTGGATGACCTATATTCAGTTTCTTCCGAGGTAGTTCCTCATCGCGTTCAGGTTTATGTAAGTGATTCAAGAAGAAAGGTGGTAAGAAACTCGGGGCAGGCGTAGTGGGAAACATTTGCGGCATCTGATAGTTAGGAAGTTGAGTGTGAAAAGGGAATAAGGAAATAGCTGATGGTCGATAAAATGGGTAACTGCTAGCCATCGGAAGTTGAGGTGGTGAAGTTAATAGTGGTTTTTGGTTAGTAGAGTCGCAGAATCTCTTGTGTTTTGTGAGGGAGGTGACTGTTGAGAAGGATTGTCCGCACTTGACGCACTTGATTTGCAAACGACAGTCAGAGTGCATTCGCTTGTGCCGGCAGAGGTTGGAGAATTGTGTATAAGACTACAAAAGAAAAAGAAAAAATTAGTTTTTAAATATCTAAAAATTGTAATTACAAAATCCTTCAATGAAAGTTGAAACTTGCAATATACAGGGTGGTCCAAACTGCGTTCCGGAAACTTCGGCAGCATATTCTGCAGATATACGTATGTCTTAAAAATTCTTAGTTTAGGAGATACAGGATGTAGAAGTTTCATTTTCATCTCGATTTTTTCCAAATAATTTCTGAAGTAATGTCAATATTTACATGAAAATTGGTGTCTGAGAGTTTTTTGACATGAGAAATTTAATTTTTTGTCAATATGACTCCTAATTGTAGAGAGCGCCACCGACATATTTTTTAACTGGTTTGAAGAGTAATAACTTTTCGTCCGTACCTGTGTATAACTATTTAGTAAAAGAATTATACATTTATAACATTTATTAGAGAATTCTCGAGATATTTGGAACCGAGATTATTACAGTTGAGGGTTGGAACCTTTGGTGTTACACAGCAAAATAAAAACACTAAATCACCACAATACACCAAAACACTTTTACTTTTACACTGGACGCGCGTTTCGCTAACCATGTTAGCATCATCAGCAGATGATTATAAACTGATAAGTTCTGCTGATGATGCTAACATGGTTAGCGAAACGCGCGTCCAGTGTAAAAGTAAAAGTGTTTTGGTGTATTGTGGTGATTTAGTGTTTTTATTTTACCGAGATTATCAATACCTGTCATCACGGACATAAACATATGTTGACTAAAATAGTTATTAGACTGATATGATTGTACAGCCAAAAGTTCAATAGAAGCTGTTTGATCATCATTTTTTGTAAGAAAAATTTATGATTAATTTAAAAAAATAAAAAGGTCCCAAATTTATCATTTCAGCCAATTAACTATTTAGTCAACATGTTTATTTTTTGTCAATAATGACATGTATTTCCATTCTAAATATCTGAGAAGGGTTGGTCGTAGCGATTTTTAACAAGAGACTTTTTTCCGTAAAAATCACGGAAATGTATTTTTTTTTCATTCAGTAGTTTTATACAGGTACGGACGAAAAGTTATTACTCTTAAAAACAGTTAAAATATATATAGGTAGCGCCCTCTACAAATAGGAGTCATATTGACATCAAAATCAAATTTCTCATGTCAAAAAACTCCAACGCACCCATTTTCATCCAAATATTGACGTTATTTAAGAAATTATTTGAAAAAAATCGAAATAATAATGAATTTTCTACACCCTGTATCTCCGAAACTAAGCATTTTAGGACATGCATTTATACAAACTTTTTTACTTATTTTTATTTGCAGAATATGCTGCCGAAGTTTCCGAAATCCGGACCATACTGTATTATAGCTACATTTTGTTCAATGTCACACAACGAGCAAATGCCCTATTAATACACGTAAAATTAACTCCTTTACCTTAAAACAGACTTCACACTGAAACGGCTTTATAGAAGAATGAATATGAGTGTGTTGCTTTAATCCAGATGATGTGCCAAAAGTTTTTCCACATTCGGGACAAGCGTGCGACCTAGCACCCACGTGGTGTGTCCTGATGTGCCGCTGGAGGTTGCTGGGATCGGTGAAGACTTTCGGGCAGTTTTCGCAGTGGTACTTCTTGGTTTCGCCGTGGATTTGAGCACGATGCTTGATGAGGCAAGGCTTGAACGAGTACGCTTTGGGGCAGAGGTCGCAACGGTACTCGTTGCGGCGGTAGTTGTGTTTAAGGATGAGGTGTTCGTCTAGTCTGGAATGAAAATAATACTCTTAATATGTGTTATCTATAGATTAGTATTTTTTTGAAATGCCTATAGGAATGGGATTGATTACTGAAGTCATGTACAGATTTTGTCAATCAGAATAAGACGACAGAACATATTTTATGTCAGTGCCACAGCATGGCAAATGTACGGTTCTTTGTATTAAACAATGATTGAGAGAAGTTATATGGATGGTTCAGTCTCCAAGTTATTAGACATTCTGAACAGAATAAGACTGGAGAATGTAACGTAGTAATCAAAAGAAGATCACCACAGATCTGAAAGGGTAACTACATAACCAGTAATCTGTAGAAGTGATATATTGTGCATTTCTGGTAAATGAAATGGTTTTCCGATAGACAGTTAACAAAATTCAAACCACTTTAATACTGGCAATTGCTGTTTTGCGTGAGACAACTATTGCGCAAATTCACTTAACATTTTCTAAAAAGTTGGAGATAAATATAGGACATTGATATGAGATATAAAAAATTCTGTGAAGAATTCAAAAATTTAGTACTATACAGGTTGTTATTAAAAATATCAAAAGGATTAAGACAAGAGTGTTGCCTTTCACCAACTTTGTTCAAAATATACTTTAACCAAGTTTTTAAAACAGTGGAAAAGCAGGTGTAGAGACATGTGGTGCATACCAATAAATGAAGATTCTTGCTTATACACTTTGCAATACGCTGAGGCCAGGTTATTTGTGCAGGAGACAAAGATGACTTGAAATATATGACACCCAAATTTAAAGAGGAATACTAAGTTTGGGGACTGGAGATGAATATCACAAAAACTAAACAGCAATAAAACTGGATAATGAATATATACAAACATGTAACGAATACAAATACCTAGGCGATACTTTCAATAAATCCGGGAAAGACAACGAAATAAGCTCAAGAATAGTGAAAGACAGAAATGCAATAAAATGTCTGAATAATATACTCTGGAGTAACGAAACAGGTAAAGACAGAAAACTAAGGATTTATGATGTGATAATCAAGAGCAATCTCTGTTATTTGGGGGGGAAACATGGAGGTTAATGGAGAACAACAAAAGAAAATTACTGGCGGTAGAAATGGACGCGATAAGAAGATCAGTATGAAAATCAAAGCTGGTTACAGTACGAAACGAGACAATCAGCCCAAGAAGCATTTTTTGTTTTATAAGTGTGTTAGGAAACTTCCCAACACACCATATTATACAACCTAAACGCATCTAGAATGGTTGTCGTGAGTTATTGGTAACCATTATATAACACTTATATGCCCTAAACGGTCCATTTTATAACTGTTCCTATGGTAACCCTTAACACTCAAGGTCAACTAAAGTCCTGAAAACATTCTCAACACCTTTATATATCCTATCGAGTTACCGCTAATAAACTGAAAAGGGGTATATAATAGTTATATAGTGGTGGTGGAGAAGGTTCCCAGAGACTACCTCCATAGAAATATCGCGCATGCGCGTTTTTTGAAAATATACTTGTTTCTTTCTGACTAACTACTTTAAAAACTACTAAAGCAGATATGATCTTATTGCTCCAAGTTGTCCTACGCAGATAATCCAGACCAGAAACAAAAGAGAAATGACGCCATCCCTGTCATAGCCTACAAAAGCGTTTGCGTTATGCAAATGACTTTATAGAAATTACTGGCTTAATAACATCTATTGCGCCTATCCAGAGTACTAAATACATATGCGATATTAAATTTACTGTGTGAAAATCAATTTTACCTCCAAAAAACACATGCGACCCCAAAAGCAGAATTATTTAATAGATTTTTTATAAAGAAAAAAAATATGGTAAAATTTTTGTAATGAAAGCCAAATTTATTAATATAAATAATAGAACATACGACTGTTTTAATACGTAGAAATAACTGGCAACTGGCCAAAATATAGTTTTGTACCAGTTTTCAACCTTATCTTAGAAATACTCATTGTAGCCAAAAATGAAGACATCAATAATAATAGCGTCCATTATATTTAAAGTGTTATATATTACTTTAGGGTCTATAACATACTCATCAACCATTATATAAATTTGGTTACTTAAGGTTGCGTAAATGAGTTTGGGTTATTTAAAACACCAATTTTAGTGTTTTATACAACTAATGTTATACAAATCACCATTATAAATTCCGGGGTGTTTATGGCTATTTTTAGTGACCCAGAAAACCTTTATGTAACCAGAGGTGTCGACTGTAGCGACTCCCTGCGAACGAACTTTGATATTACAGCAATTTGACAGAAAATGTGCAGAAAACAAAACATAACCTCATAAAATTGAAATAATACTGTTTTGGTTCAATTTGATCTATATTTAAAGTGGTAGGAGTTTTCAAAAGAGTTCTAGGGTCCTTTGGTACTTTGGTAGAACAGTTATGAATGAATTGACTATAGAAAAAAGCTCTTTAAGTGCAGAATGTGTAATGTTAAAGTAATAATGGTTTAAGTCATAATGGTTCTTAATAACACCTTTAATTATATAGTGTATATCTTGCGTACCTTTCTAACACCTAATACCAGAAGTTATATAAAATAGATGTGAACACCTTTATAAAACCTTACTATGAAACCTTTAGTAACAAGAACCTCTAGCTTTATAAGGAAAGTGATAAACAATATTTTAAGGTTACTATTAGTGACAAGTGACCAACCGCTACACTTATATAAATCAAAACACTGTAAGATACCAATGAGACATTTATTAAACCTTTATATAACTAACCTTGAGGATATATAACCTAAAGGAACTTAAAATGTTACTTGGGAGAGACAGAATGAGTAGACAAAAACTATAGTAGAGAAAATAGAGAGTGCCCAACTGAACTGGTATGGACATGTGAGAATGATGGACAACACGCGACTGTCTCAGAAGGTACTAAAATGGCTTCCACAAAAGAGAAGGAAACGAGGACAAACTGGATGGAGGGTGTCAAGAAGGAGATCAGCTCAGTGGATCTGCGTGACGCAGACTGAGATGACCAAAACCAATGGCGACTAGGTGTCGCACAACGTCGAAGGACGCTTTAAAAGCGATTCTTTTATATTAAGTTAATAATGATTTCTGTTACATGACACATCCTTAAAAAAAATTAAAAAAAAATCGCAGCTAAATATACAAATTCAACTGTACGAGCTCCTAATTTACTTATAATCAAACCTATCATATCTATGTATATACAGGGTGAGTTTCCTACGATGTTCTCTATGGGTATCTTGGAAACTACTGGAGATAGAGAGTCGGTTAAATGGGGAAAGAATTGCAGTTTTGTGGGGTCATAAATATGCGCCTTTCAGATCTATGAAAAAGTTCATAGCTTACTAGATATTTTGAAAAAAACAAATTTCGGCTATTTTAAAAATTGACCCTAATTCCATTATAAGCTATTTCAGACAAAAAGTTTTCAGATAAAAGTTGTAGATAATCACATCCTTATTGAGATCGTGTCCTCTGTTTTTTTCTAAAGCCTGTCATTTTTGACATATCACACAAACATATGTTTTTTTAAATGGAAACCATAGTTGGCCATGACTTCATAAAAAGCGGGATTTTTTAAGTTTTTAGCGATATAAGCTATAATATGTTTTCTTCGAAAAATTACTGAGTTATAGCCAATTCTTATCATTTTTAAACAATTTCACTTAGTTAGCCATGGAAACAAGTTCAATCGCCGTTACTCTCAGAAATGTGAAGCTGTCACATTCAAACTTTGTAAATTAAAATAAACAACAATTGTAAATATGAATTTCTCAAATGAAGAAAAGCGTGTAGATACTCGCGCATCAATAGAGTGTTTCCAAAATGACTTTCATTATGCCCCCCCCCTCCGCATTATGAAAGAAATGTTAAAAAAATATTGATATCATAGTAATACAAACTCAGGTATAGGAACAGGTGGACTAATTGCATGGGCCTCCTCGATCACCTAACCTATCCATTTTAGATTTTTTTATGCGGTATGGTTAAAAATAAGGTTTACAAAAGAACTTATGAATTAAGGGAGGCACTCGAAGTGGCGGTACGAGAGAAGTTTAATTTAATCAACCGGTCCTTTTGTGAGAATAGGTAATAATTCAGTTTTAAAAAGATGTAACTCAAAACAATGGAATTTTTGAACATTTTCTAAAATAACTTAAAGTGTATGCAGTGACTCGACCGCAGCGATATTATTTTTTTAAGTTTTAGTTTGTGTAATGTAAATTCTAAAGAACCGTTTAGTAATATATTCTGACTTTTCATAAGTTATAAATCACAAAAGAATAAGAATGCCATGCAATCTAAGTGAAATTAGTCAAGAGAAATAAGAATTGGCTATAACTAAATTTAACTTTTCTAACAAGTCTTGAAAATCGTTCTCTAAAAAACATAACATTCACCGGTCAACGTATCCTCGAAAATGTATGGTTAAGAAAAGTTGGACCAATAATCTTACACGCTTTTCTTCATTTGAAAAATTCATATTTACAATTTTTGTTTATTTTAATTTACAAAGTTTGGATGTGGCAGCTCTACATTTATAAGAGCAAAGACGATTGTTGCCATGGCTAACTAAGTGAAATTATTTAAAAATGATAAGAATTGGCTATAACTCGATAATTTTTCGAAGAAAACATATTATAGCTTATATCACTGAAAAGCTTAAAAAATGGCACTTTTTATAAAGTCATGGCCAACTATGGTTTCCATTTAAAAAAACATATGTTTGTGTCAAATGTCAAAAATGACAGACTTTTGAAAAAAAACGGGGGACACAATCTCATTAAGGATGTGATTATCTACAACTTTTATCTGAAAACTTTTTGTCTAAAATAGCTTATAATGGAATTAGGGACAATTTTTAAAATAGCCGAAATTTGTTTTTTTTCTAAATATCTAGTAAGCCATGAACTTTTTCAAAAATCTGAAAGGCGCATATTTATGACCCCACAAAACTGCAATTCTTTCCCCGTTTAACCGACTCTCTATCTCCAGTAGTTTCCGAGATACCCATAGAGAACATCGTAGGAAACTCACCCTGTATATCCACTGTAGAAGTTTTTGTTTAACTGTTTAAAATATGGTTACATTATATAAAAAAACACAAAACAAAAATATAGATTTATATGCATATCTCTTTATCGAGGAAAATATTGGAAACAATAAAGAGTGATGGATTACTATAGAATGATGGTCATGGTAATTAATAAAATATTAATACGATTCACACACGACAATGTTTCGTCCTACTATTACTGGACGTGTCATCTGCCGATGTTCTCACGATTTAATTCTATTTGGTGCACTTAATAACCAAACTAATAACATATCGTGACAAAAATTCAACTAGGTGTTTATGTTTTAAATTAATTTGATCTTTGGGTGTGCCTATATACGTCTAATAAAGGCTTCTAAGTTATACTGAAACAGTTATATAATATTATCTAAATTAATTAATTAAAAAAATACTAAAATAAAAGAAATCAAAGATATAAGAAACATAAATATATATTAAAAACAAATTAAAAAATAATCATACAGAAAGTTTGACGCTTTTTGGTTTTACCTTACTAAGTAATTGTTATCAGGTAGTAATTGTTAATTTTGAAGTTTAACTTGATATAATGTCATTTTAACAGAACGTCAACGGTTGTTATAGACGCATTTTTTTTTGGAAAAAAAATAAAGTGTACTCGAATAGTTGCATTTAGATATTTTAAATAGCTTTTTCTTTGTTCTTTGTGTTTTTTGCTTCCGACGATGGGAAGAGATATACTTCCCGAAACATTAAGCATTTTTTTGTCCGTCAGGCAAATTTGTTTATTAGCTTTAGTGCTGACAATTATTCTCCGTTGGATCAACGCAGCAGTGTTCACAAAAAATAACTATTTTATTTTATAGATTTTGTTACAGTGACCAAATACTCATACTTTTTGTAGAAAACATATTTTTCTTTATAAATTTTATTTGCCAATTAATAAAATAAAGAAAAGTAAAACAAAAGTACTTAAACAATTACAAGGCATTTTTAAAACCATAAATAATAAAAAAATACAATTAGCCACGTCAATCAACAGCTTTTTCCTAAACAATTACTAAATTAAAAAACAATTATTATTGTTACTAACTGTAACATTATATACGTTCGATTTTTTTTTTCATTAATTTCAAGACCGGTAGCCAGATAATTTATATCAGTTTTTGTAATTAGCACGTTTACTGAATGGAAATGTTTTTAATAATTATAGAAAAAAATATGTACTTACTTTTCAACATCGTTGAATGGTTGATCACAGTTGCAGCAGCGCGATTGGTTGTCCTCTTCATCGTCATCATCGTGTTCCCCTTCTGCAACACTGGGTTGTGATGCTAAAACAAATATTAAGAGATAAGTAATTTAATTTAATAAGTTTTAAAAAATGTCTATACCTATGTTGCGGATTCATCTCTCCAAAAAAATTCTTTATGGGTATTTCGCCACTGCACTGCAAGAAACTCTACAAAATAACTATTTTATTTTGTAGATTTTCTTGTAGTGCAGTGGCGAAATACCCCATAAAGGATTTTTTGGAGTTAATCAGTTTTGTTAAAATGTTTATATATTGAAAACTAGTCTACAGTCATATTCAAGTAATATCTCAAAATAATTACAATCAAAATTGAAAAGAATTACAATTAAACTACACAGTTTATCAAAAACATTTGGACATATACAGGTGCAAACCTAAAGTATGTACTAGGATGTATTTCAGGGAAATATTTTAACTTCTTTAGGGTGGCTCAAAAAGTGTGAGTGGATCGAGATGATTTTTTTAAATGGAACATCCTGTATATTATTGCATTTTTGGCTTCATTTCAGATCATTTTACATAATCCTAAGATATGATTAAATTAGTTTCAGAGATAATTAATAAACAAATAAAATTTTCAGCCTTTCATAAAAAATTATTAAAAATACAAGAACTGTCCTGAAATCAAAATTATTTTAGGTATTTACTTTAGATAGCCTGTACTTACTTTGCTGTAAATATGGTAATCGTAAATCATGCAGGACGTTCAAAATTCTACGCCAAACTTTCTAAAGTACAAAATATTTTCTACGTTTTTTTAAATAGAACACACTGTATATTATTTTTTCAATAAATATAGAATTAAAAAATGAACAATTTTTAACGGTTTCGCAGGTATATTTTTTCGCGGTTTTATATTTCATATGGCATTTTCCACAGTAAATTTTTATCAAAGCCACCCAATGATTTTTCTCTCGTATTTTACAGTTGAGGGAGCCATATGAAATAATACTGCGTGTATCTGTAAAACCATTAAAAATTTTGAAATAGGTAGTTTAAATACAAAAAAAATTCATTTTTTAACATCTAACAAAAATATAATATACTATAGCTAGGGGTGTTCCATTTAAAAAAATGAAGAAAAATTAATTTATATTTTTATAATATTTACAGCAAAGTAAATACAGACCATCTAAAGTAAATACCTAATATATTTTTGATTTCAGGATTTCTCTTGTATTTGTAATAATTATTTTAAAGAAGGTTGAAAAAAATATATTTAATCAAAATTGAATAAAAAATTTTTTTTTTTTCATTTTCGAAGTAAAATATCTCGGAATTTTGGAATTGTTTGAAAAACAGGAAAGAGAAAATATATGCACTTATTTAAGATTCACCCTGTATAGTAATTAATTTCTTTAAGTAACTAAAGTACAAAAGAAAGATAATAAAAAATAATGGCCATACCGACTTATAATTTTCGTATATAACACTGCAATCAAGACCAATACAAACTTTAACGTTAAAACTAAAAATCACGACTCATCATGAGCTACAGGTTGCTCAATTGACACTACTATCTAAACGACTACTAACTTTTCAACCCCCAACAAACCGACAAAAAAACATACAGTAAAATATACCCCTCCCACTATCATTTGACGTTGTTGGTGTCGGCTCCGCTTGACCCCCACCACCCTTAAAACTAACCCTTATATGGAAGCGACGAAACGATATACACAATATTATTTTACCGGGTTTTACAGAATAATAATTGCTCATAGTGTATGGTCTACGGGGGGTGGATGAAGTTAAACGGGGTGAGGATAGATTTGGGAACATATGGAACAGGGCAAGTGTTATGGTCGTATAGTATTTGAGGGTTAATTTGTTTGATTTATTAAGATAATTGTAACTGAGTTATTGGAAATATGTATTACAAATGAAATTTGCCAATTCCTGTATATTCAGACAATTTAAGATTTGCATTGCACCTTTCATTTTAGCACCCTGTATTCTGCATAGTATTAAAAAAAAATCATACGCTTCATTACATCAATTCCTGTTCCTTTTAATCATACCTTTTAAATGCCTAACCTAGATAGATCACATCGAAGCCTTCCATTAACTAACTTCATTATCACATTTACTGCTTCGAGATATGCAAAAAATCGAAATCTAAACGTACAAACATTCTACAAAAGATTGCGAACGATAAATCACATCTATTATCTGCAAGGATCTATCTGGGACTTGAACCCATTCTTCATTACAATCCGTTGCATAAATACGTATTTACCGGGGCATTTTTTCCCGTTTATTGCGCTTGATCCATATTGCGAATGACCAAGCGTATTGAATGGCTAACGAACGGGTGTAGTCACTGCTGATGCTAAAAGTGAGGTTAGGATAGCGGAACCAGAGAATCGTGACTATCTAATACCGGCATTGATGATGATATTCGATCGAGTTGAAATAAGAGGATTTGCTATAGACAATCGAAGGCATACAATTTGTAACTGTGGATATAAAGGCACGTGATAATATTTACCGTCAGCTTCTTTAAGTGTATTATTCTGGGTATAATAATATGTATGTCGTGTCCGCCCCGAATAGCAGAGTATACTCTGCTTTATGACTTTGGTAAGATTTTGACAGGGAGTGACAGAAAAAAGGCAGATGACGTCCATAACAATACATTTATTTCACTAAAAATGTTTCTAATATTTTTTAAGTAAACAATGAATGGGTTTATATGCGTCGTCTCTTATTGTTTTTAACCAGTTTTATTGGTTTATTTCAAAAATGAGAGATGATATTTCAACATGATTGGAGTGACGGAACAATGAACGATGCACGGACACAGATGCGTATGAACTCAACTTCGATTTTTAAGAGTTGTCAAACTTTTGCCAAATTATAGGTTATAATTTGTGTCAAATTATATCAAATACCCTGGCGTTCTTCGAATTGATAAACATTTGCGAATTGCTATTGCATCTTGGTTCGTCGTACGTGTTATTAGGTACGCGTGTTTCGTGTTAAGTGGAGGAAAAATCGAGAGAAAATTAAGTGTAGACCCAGAGCACAGTTTATAGCTAATATTCGGTGCCCATAGAGTTGGATTAGCCATTAGTCGTAAATATACAGGGTTGTTCGCCACATACGACACGGAGTATTGTAGCTAAACGATTAGATTTTTACAAATTTAAGTTTTGGGTTCGTTGTAGGACTATTAATTAGAGCTACAATTTAAAAATAGTTTTACAAGATACAAAGACTGTTCCAAATAAATAAAAAATATCAAAGTTGTATTTTTTTAAATGGAACACCCTGTATATTATTACATTTTTAGTTTCTACGATTAAAATAAAGGTAAATTTGATAAAAGTTTATTACACCTTACCGTTTTTGAAATATTTTCAATTTTGTGAAATTGCAGTCAAAATTTTAAGGCTTCGTTTCTCCAAGGGTATCAAAGTTTTTAATACTAAATATTTACTGAAGTTTATTTATTGATCAGTTATTGTGTTGCAATAATAAAAATTATACTACCTTATACAGAGTGTCTAAAATTTTATTTTAAATAATTACTAGCTTTAAACGGCAATAACTTGTTTAATTTAAATGGAACACCCTGTATATTTAATGAGAATCGGATGCACAATTTAATTGTTTATCAAATTGTATACCATTTTTACATATCTCTTCAAGTTTCCGTAGAAAATGCATTTCCTTGTAATTTAGAACTCATTTATCAATATACCCATGGAATACTGACCCCCCATTTTAGATTATTTTTAAAGATGTGCCAAATTTTTAGAGAGTACAGATATAGTTTGTTTATTTCAATAAAAAATAAAAAAAAAACTGTTTAAATATTTGTTAAAGAGGACCAATTAATATGATTCCAGTATTCAAACTACATTAATTGACTGTTTGCGTTGATTAATAATAATTGCTCCAAATACTAAAAACTGAATTTTGTATGTGTATTAGACAGTGGGGTAAAAACCAACACCTTAAAAATGATATTTCATTTTTTGACAAATGCTTATTTATAACAACAGAGACATTCATTTTCATAACTTATTATTATATTGACTTCTGATTCAAATCCACATTTATTTAGAATAATTTATTAACGAACATAATTAAGTATGTAATTAATTAGTATTTGGGCGGAAATAATTGGTGGTATATTTAATTAATGGTATACTCTTTTATGAAGATTTAAATAATTTTCTTTTTGCATACAAATGGGCTAGTAATATTATCATTTTGCTAAAAACGATAATATTACTAGCCTGTACATTTTGTAGATTTGTTGCTATAAAAACAATCTAAAATATCAATATTCCATGGGTATATTGATAAATGAGGTCTTAATTATAAGAAAATGCATTTTCTACGAAAACTTGAAGGGATAGATAAAAAGTGGTATAATACAATTTAATAGACAATTAAATTGTTCATCTGATTCTCCTAAAATATACAGGGCGTTCTATTTAAATTATACAAGTTATTGCCGTTTAAAAATAGAAATAATTTAAAATAAATTTTTAGACACTCTGTATGAGGTAGTATTATTTTTATTATTGCAACAAAATATCTGATCAATAAATAGACTTCAGTAAATATTTAGTATTAAAAACTTTGATACCCTTGGAGAAATGAAGCCTTAAAATTTTTACTGCAATTTCACAAAATTGAAAATATTTCAAAAACGGTAAGGTTTGAGTGTAATAAACCTTCATCAAATTTACCTTTATTTTAATATTAGAAACTAAAAATGTAATAATATGCAGGGTGTTCCATTAAAAAAAAATACAACTTTGATATTTTTTATTTATTTGGGACACTCTGGATCTTGTAAAAATATTTTTAAATTGTAGCTCTAACTAACCCAAAACTTACAATTTGTAAAAATCGAAACATTTAGCTACAGTACTCCGTGTCGTATGTGGTGAACAACCCTGTATACTTTTTTTATAGTTTGATATTGCATTTATTTTACAAACAAAGCAATAAATAATTATATTTTACTGTAATAAACTCAAATACAAATTTACTTGCTTT